GGGGGAAATCTATTAACTATTTCAAGCCTACAGATTTCACACAGTCTCAATGTCCTATTTACTCCACATGAAAAAAAATCAATCTTGAGAACACCATGACTGAGCTAGCAATGAACCCTGTGCTCCAAGGGCATGCTCTAAACAAGCATAACCCTTTACCACAAATGAGGACTTTCCACAGATCACCCTTTTAATCACTCTTTCAGTCCAACCTTGCTTAGCTTGAGAGAGACGAGCCCAACACAGCATGGTGTGCTGTGCTATGTCCATCTGCTTATCAAACATCTATCCTGTTAACAGCTCCCAGTGACTTGTCATTTTGAGCCCCTGCATGAGCAGCAAAAAAGCACCTGCTAAACTGGAAAAGCAGAGTAATCATGAAGTATGAGGATGAGCTGGGACTCTAAAAACCAATGTGTTCTGATATGGAGTCAGGATTGCCCTGCCTCATAAGTATGTGAAAGATGCCATCCCAGTCCTGTGACCATAACCAGAAGAATACAGCATTGTACGTGTGTATGTCAGAATGCAGAAGGCTGCTTTCCTCCCTATGCTGGCTTCGTTTTCTCCACTCCTTGTTTTCTGCTCGCTGAGCTTTTCCCCTTGTATACTATGAAAACAACACTTCCAGGCAAACAAATATATAATAAAAATAAAACCAAATTATTATGAGGCTAGATAGTCTTTTTTTAATAGTAGCCGCCAGGTTACCAACTAGAAGTAGCTGATTTTCAGTGTCTATGTCAGACAACTATTTCCTGCTATCATTAACAGTAAATGACATTGTGAGGCTTTCACTGTACACAGCAAAAAGCGTGTAACTTTTAGACAAAAACAATCTTGGTGATTTATCATATCCATTTATCTCAAAATACATACAGACATAAAGATGAAGAGGAAGACTGTCAATGGTATTAGTGAATTCCAAGCGACAAACGTACAAACTTGTGCAATACATATTTAAAAGTTGTATAGAGTATGGTTACCTGCATAACAGAGAACGTGTTAAATTGTTTTATGTTACAGTAAATTCACACCATGTAGCACACCAGCCAGGAGCTATCAGGTACTACCTCCGTCCAATTTAGTGCAGGGTTAGCAACAGGGTAGCTGAGAGATGCCTTTGTGAGAAGAAGCCACAAGCAACGCTAGTTTTGCCTTCTAGTACAGTGCTCTCCGCCCCCTGCTAAAAGCATGGCTGAGGGGGGTGGGAGGACTCACCACACCGTCACTCTGTGGCTTAGGCTGTTTGGTGGGATCCAAAGCAAAGATAGTATACTCAGAGAGAAAAGCAGGCTCTGCTATCATCCCAGCTAGCAGCTGTCATTCAATGCAAAAAGTAGGAAAATGAAAATAAATCAAGTAATAAGGTAAAGGATGTTGCACAATTTGACTCAAATTTTCCACACTGTCAACAGCAGTGTAAAACAATACAGCAGTTTATGACACTACAGATACTGATAAAGGCAGGACATTACCAGAAAATATGCACTAGATCATTTCAGAACAGCCAAACTACAGTTTTGATCATTTAGAAGAAAAACACACAATTTTTTTTTAAAGAAGGTAGTTTAGCCAAAGATAAAGACAGTGTTTCAGGCACTGATATTGTATTATTTCAACTTCTGTGGATTTCTGATC